GTATAGAGACTGGTAGAATATCATAGAGGGAAGCACAATAGATCAAACTGGTCGCGGTGCATGGGGAAACCCACCCTCTCTAACTAACTAACTAACTAACTAACTAATACTTACAGAAGAGTAAGAATTGTGAAGCTCCTCATTAGGCATATTTTTCCAACCCCCAACTACTTCTTCCTTAGGTCGCAACATTCTGCTCAGCACCCTGTCATTAAACATCGTCAATCCATATTCTTCCCTTAAGGTAGGAGACCAAATCGCAGAACCATGCAAAACTATAGGCAGTATTATTGTTTTTGCACTTTAAATCATCAGTTCTAACCTGCGTGAAAAAAACTCGTACAGAAACGAAGCTGTAGCACTTGATACACTTCTCAAACAGAGAGAACGTCTGCGGATTTACGGGCTTTAGGGGTTTGTAGAACCCTTAACATTGACTACTTATCTCTTATTGGAACCGCTAGATTGCCGTGCCCCTCTGAGAAGTATCAGACTAAAAAATAAGGTTGACGTTATTGCTGTGGCATGTCTGTGTATACAGAACTGGGCCGTATTTATATCCACAGTAATTGGCCTTGTGGTCAGCAAATGGTTGGAAACGAATGCCTCGGAGCGTGCTGGTAAGATGGCTAACACCTCTTTGCAAACCATTTCGTATGACGTCACATTTTCTCATTGCCAATAAATCCCAAGACACCTTGACGGCACTTATAGTTGAGCTCCATATTTTAATAAGATCAGTTATAAGATGAAAGTAATTTATGTATACAAATATGAAATGTAGTGTGAAATTTATCCGGATAAATCCAGAGCAGTACTGGTAGCATTAAATGTCCGATTTACTGCATTGTAACAAGGGAGGCAGAGAGTTAGCTTCAAACTAATAGTTTATCCGATCACGGCTAACTCCATGGAACAGTGTCCCTGAGGCCTAATATTTGCTCAGGCAGCCGAGAAATTCCTCGCCCTTATGTAATCCGATGGTTCATTACCGCATGGATATGAGTACAAACCCGCCACTATCCCCGTCCTGAGTCATATAGTTTAGCCCAGTGCACATCTCATATCCTATTAATTTCAGATCCATTTTTAATGCTTTCCTCCCAATTATATCTAGGTCTCATAAATAGTATCTTCCCTTTTTTCTAGGAATAAACTTCTGTTTGCAATTTCCGTCTTTTCTATGCGTGCTACATATTACACACGTCATCGTTGATTAAATCAACCAAATAATACTGGTGAAGAGCGTAGGACTGTGTTCATTAAAAATAGAATACGTGAACTATTTTCAAAATTTCACTGTTTGTATTCAAAATAGTCTCCTTCTGAATCAATACATAGCTGGAATCGATTGGAAAGTTTTAAAAAACAGTCACTGTACTCGTACTCCTTTTGTGGAATCGCATTTAAAACTGCGGTACATTCACTTTGGACATCCTGGATGGTGTCGTAACAGTCTCCTTTCATTGCCAACTTAACTTTTGGGAACAACCAGAAATCTGCTGGAGCCAAATCTGGCGAATACAGAGAATGATCTAGGACTGTGATCCCTTTTCTGGCCAAAACATCGCGCACGATCTATCTTTGATTTGTGGGGTGGGTCATTGTCGTGGAGAAGTGAACAGGAAACTTGCTCGATATTCAGGTCCAATTCGAAGAATTCTCTCCCCAAAACGATTGAGGACTCACAGATAATAATCAGAATTCACTGTTTCACTTCCTGGCAGAAATTCCTTGTGAAGGATTCCTTTGGAATCGAATCGAAGGAAACGGTTAGCAGTGTCTTTACTCGATTCTTTTGCATGCGCACTTTCTTTGGTTTCGGCTTCTTTGGGCTCAACCACGCTGCACTCTGCCGCTTTGAGAGAGGCTCATATTGAAAACACCATGTCTCGTCACCAGTAACAATCGATTTTGTAAATTTTGTATCACTTTTGGGCCGACCGTAACATGTCTTTGCAATGTTCCACTCTGGTAGGTTTTTCATCGCCTGACAGCGCGTGCGGTACAAACCGCGCACACACCTTCCGTTTGCCCAAATCCTCGGTCAAAATTTGATACACTGTACTATTTGGTATTCCCAAAAGCTCCTCGGTGAGTCTTGCAGAAACACATCTGTCTGATGCAAGGATTTCTGTCACTCTTTTCACATTTTCTTCAGCGCGACTTGTTCTCGGCTTTGATGCACGTTGAGCGTCTTCAATGTCCTCCCTGCCGTCACGAAATACAGCATACCATAGAAAAATGTTCGAGCGACTCAAACAATCACTGCCGTACACACTTTTCATCATTTCGTACGTTTCTCCGGCGGTTTTGCCTAACTTCAAACAAAATTTGATGTTGGCTATCTGTTCAACCGCCATTTTCCGACGAGCACCAGAACAGTACTGTTACATTCAAGGTCAGAACACATGATGCAGCGATTCTTGCGCTTTGGAATTATACAGCCACAGCTGAACTTTAAAGAATCTTAACGCCATAACTCGCCAACAGATGGCGTTGCAGGGCAAATTTTAAAAAAATGAGTCCTAACGGATCCTGGATACACCGTATATTTCAGATGTAATAGATAATTAATGTAAGGTCACACACACTTAGGTATAGCAGTTTCCGGTTACGGGGTACCTGTTCTCCTCTGAAGTTACGATACAATGGCTGGTGTTGGGCACACAACTATGTGACATGATGGCAGTTTGAGGGTATAAACCCTGGACCGTGGACCCATTTGAACAATGAACTTCAAAACAGTTTATTTCCAGAATGCCACAAGCCGTATGGATAAGCTCTTCGTCAAACCTGAAACACACCAAAATGATTATCGTAGGATGATTTCATATGACTTCATGACACAGTACGAGTATGACTTCCTGGGGGAAAACTTGTGAAACGACCACTTGTAAGCCCAAAATTAAGATGGAAGAACATTAAAGTGGGTCTGGGTTTTATACATGTAAAGTGGACTGAGTAGACTGGTAGCATTGTTGTTAGTGTTTCTGATATTTCGGTTTTGAACACTGAAGGACGTTTTTGTTTTACTTTGTGTGACTATATAGCGAGGTATATTGACGTCGAACATTTAACCGTAATATGGAAAAGAGAGGTTCCCTTTTATTTTGTATTTCAACTTTAACAGTGAACTGCAGGACAGAGAAGGAAGTAACCTGATTTAATTTAAAGTAATTTCCCTGCTTGCATTTATGATAGGTTTACTTGATAACGGCTAATAATATGTTCAAAACAGAAAAAAAACATGTTCAATCCGAATGAAATATCTGTCGAATACAAATAAAAACAGATATTCCAGTAACAACGCAAGATTTTTTATTTGCTTGTTTAACGACAGTGTGCCAACTCTAAGAGACAACTGGGAAATGTATCGGATGAAGAGCTGAGAAGGTTATTGAAAGAAGTTGTGGAGTATTTCAAGGTACACTCCCTTTGGAAACTACTTCAAAAACTAAATTTGGAGTAGAACTATATTAATCTGTGATAATGGAATTTTATACAAACCAGATAAGTCTATAACCTTTTTACCTCCATGGATACACCCGAAGAATAGGGGTTCGATTCTCGGCTGGGAGACGGATACTTTTCTCTTCGCCACAAACTCCAGACCGGCTTTGGGCCCACCCTGTCGCCAATCCAATGGCTATGGAAGGACTGTATCCCCGAGGGTAAAGCGACCATTCTGTAACTTCAGTCACATCCCTCTAGTGCTGAAGGTTAAGGCTTGAACTCCTCCACAAAAAAAAAAAGCCAATTCTCACAGTGTGCTGTAATACCACCGTGACTAAGTCTTCTGGAAAGCGGCCTCCGTAGTCTAGAGGTAACGTTCCCACCTCATGACTCGTGGTACGCGGGTTCAAATACCCGGCGGAGGTCGTCGAATTTTTAAGGGCGGAAAAATTCAGGGAACAAGTCCTCCAGGAGGGACTTTAAGCCGTGGGTCCCGTGTCGTATCTTTACGGCACGTAAAAGAACCTCATATCTCCAAAGGAGATCACTGAGCCAAATTCCAGGACGTTTCCCGCCCAACAATAGTCTCTAAGGCCTCTGATAGATGGGGGAAGCATTATAGACACCGTCAAAGCAAGTGGAGGCCGAACTCGCTTGCTCGGCGGGACTGATGGTACGCACCATTATCGGTAGGGTATAGAGACTGGTAGAATATCATAGAGGGAAGCACAATGGACCAATACTGGTCTAAGTGCATGGGAAAACCCACCCTCTCCAATAACTAAGTCTTCTGGAATCTTCGTAGTGACACTTGTCCACTGCAGAGATAATGGCCGTGAGGGTGTCTGCAGAATCTCATTTGCGACGACGGAGTCGCTACGTGAGTTGGAGATTGTCATTCAAATGAGAAAGACTTTGTATCACACAGCTCACTTCTTTGCATACAGTTGCTTTAATTTTAAGTTATGCAAGAACTGGCCTTCCTGTTTTCTTTGTTGGGAGACATAAATTAAAATGTCGTCAAGAACATTGGGTAATTTCCGGAAATATAAACCACGACTACGTCTAATCCACGATGTTTCGCTTTCGAAATTGTTGCCGACATTAATTTGGAGGAGGATGAAGAAATATATGAATAAGGGTGAAGGCAGGACTTGCAGAGAATGAACGTTATGTTATCCAGCGCATATACACGATTAATGCTTATGAAAGTGAAATGTTCATACAAAAATAAATTTTATCCTATGTAGAATTTCAAGAGACATCAGTTTCTTCCGTATGCAATTAAAGTATCTCTTCAATTCCCGCTAGTAGAACAGTTAGACTTACATAAAATTATGTTCCGCCATGTACGTGAATGAAAACGTATTCGAATGACCAGCTGAAATATATAAATCTTTAGGCCGGACAAATCTAGAACAGGTGCTTGCTAACGTGCAACCTTGCAACTTGACGGGGATTGTAAACTTCTATTATTATCATAAGCTCTGACGCTTAATCCTGAGTCTTAATGCTACTTGTACACAATAACTAAAACAAAAAAAAAGACAAACAAAGCAATATCCGTGGCTTGAGTCCGCAAGCGACCGTGCGACGGCCATTTGTCGGCGAAGTTAGGTACACAAGAACTGCCGTTTATAATTTTGTGAAAGCCGAAAGCGAAGCGGTTGTTTTCTCTTACTCATTCCCGATTTCACTGCTGCATTCAATACAGTCTATATAAAACAGAGCATATTAAAAGTGTACAAAATGTTACTGTCGCTCATTTTACTGTTGCAGATGACAACTTAATCGTACCTGTCAGCCAGCTTGCAGGCACCTCTCAGGTATTCCACGATGTTGATCTGGTTATTTTCCCAGAGAGGCGTCTTTCGTCTTTCCTCATTATGATTCTGCATAATTCTGACTTCCGATTCCCAGCGTTCCGGGTTCGATTCCTTGGCGAGAAGCAGTCTGAGAGGAGTGACGCAGTTCAGTTGTGGGCATGCATCCATGCAGTTTTCTACCGACTGGAAACGAACTCTTGCATTTTTGAACACTGGGCACTCCGCGTTTGCATGACACGGCGCTGCCTCGCACCCCGGTCCACAAACTGGCCATCCACAACTTGAGCACAATGTCGAGCCGTCAATAGAGGCGTAACACCCAAGGCACATTACATAGGTGTGAGGTTTTGGGCCGATGACCACAGGAAACTCCGTCAAAATACACTCCCCTGGTTCCAGAGTTCGCATAGCCACACCGTATCTGTAGGAAATAGTGTCACTTCAATATAGCAATACTCATAGGTCATTTAGGTCTGTGATTACCAACATTCGAGAAGCCGTTTAGTTGTTATGGAAGTGTTGTAACTGAAAAGAGAGTATTTGCATCAAAGAGAGAAGTAGTAACAGGATGCTGGAGAAAATAGCATGATGAGTAGCTCCATAATTTATACTCTTTACCCTTATTATAACCGACCCGGATATAATGAATTTCGTATATAAGTGATAAAATACGGCTGAGTACAATTGTGAATTTTTAGAGATGTTAAGGCACTAAGATTTATGGTTAGAATATTATTTAAAATAATAAGAACTCAGGTATAAAAACCTTTATGTAATCACATTGTGTTTTCACTTTTACATGTATTTGCTATGTATCCAATTGTGTAATTCGGTGAATATCTCTTCACTCGGTTATAGTGGACATACTTTCGTCCCTATTAGTCAGTTATAACGAAGGTTTACTGTATTATTATGGCCATCACGGTAACGGACCTTCAGTTCCCGTTATAGGCGGTGAATTTCTTAACTATGTGAGTGAATATTAGTATCTCAAATTGGCTGATGTAAGGTGTTAGTGTTGGAACACACTAATGTAGAGTAAAAGTAAAAAGTAATCAAACTTTAGTTTACTCTAAGAGTGAAGTTGGCAGCACTCTTGAAGTTTCACTAAGGATAGATCTACCATGGGGACTCTTCCATTGACGAAAGTGCAGTAATATAAGACCTGAATTTTATGGCAAGAAATACAAACTAATTAAATTTATAGGAGAATAACAGTTCAGTATGGTGACAAGCAGGACTGCTATATACTACACTGCGACACTACATTAGTGTCGTATTAAATCCTACGGTTTACTTATAGCTCAGAAAGAACTTTCAGAATTGTCATGGCCGTTTTCTTGTTTTACACTTCGAAAAATCTGCATTTCACCTGAGAACTTACAATCGTACGAAGTTTCAAAATTGTGTCTTGCGTGACGTGTTAGCCTATTAATTTACATCAGAAACTCTAGTAGCTGTCCTGCTTGCTTATCGTTTGTGTGGCTCTGGTTGCAATATTATAGAATTCCGTGCCATTTCCTGGCCTTTCGGCCAGGAGTTAAGGTTTTATCGTTACGTCTTGGGTATAAAATTGTTTTATTGATATGCTGTGAATAATTACTTTACCTGCAGAATCTCTTAAAATGTCTGCTTATTGACTGAGACAGTGTTTATGAATTGTACTGGAATACAACGACATTTTTGCCTGAATATGGAGAAGTTAAACCATCGTTTATGAGAACAGACTTGTAAACGTTATCCTTTCACCATAGTAGTGTAAGTATGAGTTGTATTTGAGCCCGTAGTGTAGAAGAGACTCTCTCTAGAATTAGAATTTAATATACATAACATTTGCGTTAATGTTTCAATTCATCTTTGATCTGAAAGCGCTGTTCTGCTGATATTGATATAATGCAATCAAGGAAATAATGTGGGAACTGGGGGCCCTGGTGTATATATTTACATATGTATCATTTCAGTTATTCCTCGAAAACATTGCTTCTCTTTTTCAGGTGACTGTACCTTCCAATTTTATCGTTCGTAAGAATTTTGTATGCCTTGCATGTGTCCCGATGTTGAATCCAGTGCTCCTTCTGGTGTTCCCCTGAACAGTAGGTAACTGTTTCACAACCTCCGCAACGATGCTTTGAGGGCTGCTTGCACAAGGCACAAAGTTCGACAGCCTTTAGTGGGGTGTCCTGTATCTAGAAGTGAAAAAGTATCATCGCATGATTTATATTTTACTGCTCAGAAAGCCTTGAGCAAGGTCGTGTGAAACAAGAAGGAAACTATTGACATGCCACGGGGGTACTTGTATTCAGAAATGAAATCTCACTTATATTGCGTTATTAAAATATCATTTCCATTATGTGCGAGTCATTACCACAAAGAATTATTTTACTTTCTGAAATGAAAATATTACGTGAATTTTTATCAAGTTTGGGCTAGTAAAACTAGCAACAGAATGGTGTATTTCTTTTCACTGATAATAATATTTCCAAGTCCACTCTTTGTAATTTTGTATCCATGATTGTTCGGTATTGTGGCAAATTTGTATATCCGGGTAGAAGTGAAGATAAAAAAAAATTCAGCAGTTTACTGCTTATTATATGCATACCAGTATCATTTTTAACAGTCATATAGAAACAATGCAGTGTCTCCTGTTCAGTTCATATTTTATCGGAGAACGTCTAATTACCAGCATAAATATATATAAAATAACAATACAAAATGGACCTGCAAATACATACGAGTGCTAATGAGAAAATAAACTTATATGGAACATAATTAAACATTTGTTTACATCTATATACGAAATACTTATGGAATAAAAATCAAATAAAATCAGCCTGGCAACTTTTGGTGTACAATTCTTGTGTCTAATTTATTCTAAACATGTTAATCTGAGATATGTGATATGCGATAGTGTAACTCCTGTGTCCATGCAGTACTCGTATAAAGTAAGGCGTGTAGAGGAGCTTCCATCGTTTTAGATTTAGGCGTTGGATGACAATGCATTGTCGGCCTTAGAGATAGTTTACCTCTAGGGGAAAAACACTTGGCATTAATTGTTGTCACCGCATCTAAGACGTATTCGACTTCTGCTTACTCCAAAGACCACTGCTGCTCACATATTGAGAATTTCATTTCTTAAAAATAAGTTTGTTGGTTTCAGGATATAAATATGAGGTTCCTGACAGCCGTCAGAAATACGCCGTATCGGGTCTCCGTTTCTTCTTATTCACCTCACATTAAACGTAACATCAGATATACATAATTGCGTAACCACTAAATAATTTGTGATCGGCTCAAGTTCAGTTAGAAAATAAACTTAAGTAATATTTAGTTGTCGTGGGGCTGCTAAACCCCAATCAGAAATTAAATTAACCTGTCAGGAAAGACAGAGCCACTTGAATGTGAAAATGTTGATCGAGAGAAAACTGAGATTCTTGAAATTAATTTTCTGTAGTGCTAAATTTAAAGAAGGGACGTGGAATGTGGCCCTGCAAACTGCAAGCCTATCCACTCTTACCTAAAATATCAGCTTCTTGTTTGTAGCAAATTGTTTGCATATTTATTTGTTAATCATGGACGTAATATGGTTGAGAATTGCTGCATACTGGATACTTACATTATGTGCCAATGAAGAGATCACACAACATTAAATTAATCTTACAAATTACAGCGTCATTCACTCCTATTTAAAAAACTAGAAATTATGGCCACCGTTCTTCACTTTGTTGTCAGCTTAATTTGCAGTATGGGTTTATTTTAAAATTTCTTTATTCGAATCCGTTTCAATTGAATGTGGATGTTTGATTTTTCAGTTCTGCACTCGTTAATCGGTATAGTAACTGAACACGACAAGGATGTTTTATATTTTCTGAATTCATATGTTTGTATTTGTGTCACTTTTCACTGGTCACATGTTACCTGAGTTTTCAAACAATGAACTCAGATCATGAACGTATTGATTACGGTTTGAAGCGGTTTAAATGAGCACAAATCTAATCAAGGATTTAGAGTATTTCTATGGAACTTCTTATACCAGATTAAATCAACAGTTTGCTCGAACTTAGAATCACCGCACTGGAGTGTTGACAACCTGAGGAGGAAGGACGCCAAACTGTTGTGTCGTTGACATGTTGAATACTTTCCATTTGTGTTCCTACACTTGGCCCAGCTTCAAGCGCGCTCACACGGAACGACTACAGTCATTGTTCTCGAATTTCGTATTGAGAAACATAATATAGCATCCTCAGTTATTCCAAAAATCAATATTTCGCAAATTGGTGCTTAATTTATTTTGACGACGGAAATCCTGCGTCTCTACGAAATCTATTATGGGAGATCTGGAATCGCTACATATGATTAACATGCTTACGAACATTCAAACAGTTAGAGTCGTCTGTATTCTGTCAATGTTCTACAGTATTCAATATGGGGCCCTCTGTTTTTATCAGTGTGATTAAATTGTATATTTGGAAAGCATATTAAAATATAAATCGAGTCTCTTTGGAAAATTTACGTGTATTAAACAAAACCCTAACCCTCCAAATATCTGTGAAACCTGGGCTAGAACTCGATTCGAATATTTGGGTGAATTCTTTTCTGTTATTATTTTAATCAAGTACAATATTTCAAACATTTGTTTTGTGAGGTAATAATTGTGTTTTTATTTTAATATGTATCTCTTTTTCTACCAGCCTCGAAGACTGCAGAGGAACTATATTCCATAAAATTTTATGGAACTCAGCGAAATTCAAATTATGGCGAAGAATTTATGAAATATACTCTTAACGTAGATCAAGTTGTTGTCAAGAAATTTATGTATATATTGCTATTTATATAGAGTGGTTGTTACTTAAAGACGGCCAGGGTAAGACTAAAATAAACGTTGGCAGATGAACTACTGGATTTTTTCGGCTTGAATTAGAGAATAATTCTCATTATTAACATCAAATATTCTCCTATTTATTTAACTGTGCTTTGTAATAATCGAATGGTAAAACATATTTTTAGCTTTCTTTATGCTAAAAATATATAATATGCAGATGTAGAATTGTTTGAAATTTTCCCGTTTTGCTAATAATCTCCTACCCGTTAAGCACAATTCTTGTTATATAACTGTGTAGGACACTTTCACGAAATAATTTGCACCAGACAGTTTCGTGTGCTAAATAGCCCCACGGTGGTGTTAGCGTGGAAGAAGTCAGAGTTAGTTGCATGTATATGAACTCACCAGATGAGGAAGAGTCATTCTTGTGTGTTTTCTCAGGGTTTATTTGAATTGTATATGTTAATCCAAACGGGCCACGCTGTCAGTTCTAAATGCTGATACGTCTGGAAATGAACTGCGTTTATATCATCCTGATGCAAATTACATTCTAGTGGAAGTTGCCCAGCGAACTAAATTTAAATTTGTGTCTCGAACTGCATGGAAGTTTCGTGAACGTCCACATGTCAGTTTTATTTTGGTCACAGCTTTGTATCCGTGTACAATCAGATCAAACTTGTGTGAAGTTAAGTGTTTGTGTAGGGAAGAAAATTACGTTAGTTAAATCTTAAAGCAGGCAATCTAATGGAACAGTATCTGTTCTCGCGTTACTTATATGAGGAACTTTTGTAGATTTATGGACGATTATTGTTGTTTAGTGGCAATTAAATATTAAATAGAAAATATACATTTGGCGTGCTCTTCGTATACATAACACACGTTCTTCGCCTGCATCAAAGTCTGGCTTCTCTCAATGCCCATAAACCTATTTCTACGCCACTTATATGCCAGTATAAACTCTCCTTGTGTTCTCTCTCTCTATACATAGCTCTACAGTCCTTTGGACCTTGGCCAATTTTTCGGTTTCTTAATCCTATACACGGTCGCTAGGCCTCCTTGGCCGGGGGATCAGTCCGTCGCAAGGCAGCTACCTATACAGAGAACAACACAAATACAGAATAAACGCACAGAGATATCTATGTCTCGAGTGGGATTTGAACCCACGACTCCAGTGTTCGAGCGGGCGAAAGCAGTTAATGTCTCAGATCGCGCGGCCACTGTTATATACCTCTCCTTCTACAGACACATAACTTCAAATTTACCGAGACATAGAATCCAACTGGGCCAAAAATTAACTGTAAATTTATATAGGCTATCGGAGGTTGGGAGGTGGGGTCTAAAGCCTCTCAGAGTGCCCACGTAGAACAAAAATATTCCTCTCTGTTTTAAGCGAGATTTTATTCGAACGTCATTGTATGACTTCTCGTGCTTCGGGTGAAGGCTGCATCATGCAATTATGTAATTTAATTGGAGTCCTGACTATCTAGAGCATTACGGCTGCGCCATAGCTCAAGCGGTTAGTCGCGGGCTTCCCACCGTGGCGGCCCGCGTTCGAGAGCTGGTTTGGTCAAGTGGGATTTGTGGTGGACAAAGTGACGCTGGGACAGGTTTTCTCAGAGTACTCCGGTTTCCCCTGCCAATCTTCATTCCACCAATTGCTCCGCAATCACCCTCACCTATCATCTGGGGCTGGTACAATAGGCCAGAAGTGGCTGCAGTAGAAGGGACTTAGTCCCACCCCACTAGCAATAAAAAAAATCTGGAGCAGTTGTTCCCAGATTCTTAGTCTTGGGCTCTCTCGGCGTAAAAAATACTTTAAGGTCGCTCAGTCTGTAAAAATGACCTCAAACGTAATTTAACAGTTTCCTAAAATAATTACTACTGAACTTTAATAATATCTATTACGTACTTTTTATTAGTTACATATTTATAATTTAATGTGGCTTTCAAGATTAATATTAATTCAGAAACTTCGTTTTCTACCCATTTTCCAGCTTCCACTGAGAGAAAAAAGTTTCACGGTTCCCGAGGAAGCCGAGGTTGCGGCCTCTCGGAAAGCTGGTTTACGGTGACGGAAAGCGACGTACGCCACACCAACGGCAACACCTGCAGACATCACTGCCGTCACTATCAACAAAACAGTTAATGAGGGATAGGTTTAATTTAACTGGTTAGAAAGCAGGTTCATGTACATATTCAGAGCTTCAGCTTAGCCTTAATGCTGGTTTTCATTTCTCGCTTTCGGGTTTCATTTCTCTGTTTGATTTGGGTAATATATTGGCTCCCATTATTAGTACCTGTTCTGTACAGTTATATTTACAGCTGTGCTTTCCATGTTGAATTTCAAATATTTAAGGGCCTCATAAAACCTCATATGAATTTCAGATAAGTGAGAGTAATACTACATTTATTCTTTCTTCCCCAAATTCGTGATTCTGAATTTTATAACAGAACCACAGGATATTTTAATATATTTCAATTTAATTACATAACGCTCCGACACAGATCTTGCCTGGAGACATAATAAATTATACGTACACATAATTATTGAATCATAATGCAAATCTTCATTTGGGAAAAGAAAGCAAAGAAAATGTGTTACGAAAACGTTCTTTCTGAAAAAAAAGAAGAAGAAATTATATTGTTTCTAAGTACCAGAGTATCGTTATGAGTTTTACATAAAGTCATTTGACGTAAGATACGTTTTCAAATAACTGATATCTGTTAATAATTGTAACTTGTCCAGTTACATTACCGTCACATGTAGAAAGACCGACCTCTCTCTCGTAGGAGAAGCCCCATTTCGAAACATGTACAAGTATAGGAGGGAACAAAAATCTTATTCATGGATTTCAAGGAGACTGAAACCAAGAATAACTGTGCTGGCGAAGCCCAGAACCAATTTAACCGACCGACCGATCTTAATAGGCCAATACATTTTGCTTCAGACTTGTTCTTTCATGTGTTAAAATAAGTTCTCCGGAAGGTCGCGGGTTCCAATGACCTCGATGAGGTCATTGGATTTTTTTCAATTGACCTAATCCTTCTGGCCACACTATGGCCCTGGTGTCGACTCAGCCTCTAACAGAAATGAGTACCAGCAATTAATTAAATAATTTTCCTGAGGAGTAAAGCGCGGCCGGTGCGTAAGGCTGACAACCTTACCGCCATCTTTCAGCCGACTGTCTAGATAACGTGGGACCCTCAACGTTTCAAAACCCCATGGTCCTTCACGGCCTCTTACAGGGATAGCTTCACTTTTTTACTTTTTTACTGTGTTACTTCCGTCTCACTGAATAGCTTATAAGTGACTGTCATTTTCTGCTACTAGTGCAACAATTAACCCATACATTGCTTATTTTCTTATTGAAGTTAGCCAGACATCATAACAACGTAGGTAATGGATGTGAGAAACAAAGGCATAAAAATTTCTCGGATTACATGACGATACATGATTTAATCACAAATAATAATTTGTTTTGGGTTAAACCATTTATAGTAAAGTAGTCCCCCTCACTAAAAATAAACTTCTTATAAAAATAATTCTTAATTCATGATTCTGCTCATATATATTACAAGAGGAGTGGGTGCAGTGCGTGGTTAGAAACACTTCTAGGTCTTCACTTAAAGCGTCTGTCATTTTATTGCGATTTTATCCAGAAGTTGGAATTTCCTTGTAATGATTAGGGAGAGTCTCTCATATCGATTTAAAAGAAAAATTGTCCAGTTGTTTAGGTACTGATAATAAGTCACAGATAGATGGACAGACATCAGCACACAAGGCGTTCTCCTTTGTTTCGTAAAATCCACGATTTTCCTCAACGAACAGTCTTTCAAATTTCGTAGTAAATTTCAATTTCCCGCGGAGTAGTATATTGACCGTACGATGACAGACGACGTGAAGAAATCCAGGGGGTCGTATCCCTATCCCCCACCCAATCACCTACAGTAACAATTTGGGTTTGAGAGGGACTTATGCAAATTGGTTTCGGCTGTTATAAATTCTGAAATATTAAAGATTTTTAGTATCACTTATTTTACAAGTATTATCCATAAGGTTACTGGTTTTAAAAGAGGTTTATGAAAGGAATTTATAAGTAATCTCGATCCCACATCTTTAACGAAATTCTCCTGCGCAGGCGTGAAGTCTCTCTACGCATCGTCGTGGTGGTGTAAGATTGTAGAAATTGTGAATTCTAATTGAGCAGCTTATATTTAATAAATATTTAGTAAGTAACAGCTTCATTACTTTTATGTGTGCTTTTCCGTGTATGAAAAATGGCATAGGAACCTATAAGTTTCACTGTGACTCTTTTGCCAAGTGATGCATATTTCCGTACTGGCTCCCTAGGTGCGTGCCGGCGACGGTACTGCAGAAGTGCCATAGTAAGGCAGGTTAATACATTTATGTTCTCTATGCCTTGCGTATGTTGTAACTTTCGGTTTTTGAGCGGTAAAACATACTCTGAAGGTTAAAGATAAAATTCACACAGTGTTATATGAAATATGTTTCATCAGAAATGTGCAACGATTCATCACTTTCTGTATATTAACTAGAATTGCATACTAAGCTGTTGGAACACAGTAAAGATTTTAGCGTACATGTCCCCGAAAACAGACTATGATAGCACATTTATTCAAGCTTATGCATACTTTTTATTTCAAAATTATGCCCTCGTTCAAGTCTCTGATATGTATTCTTGGGTATTTGTGCAGCATTTGGTAATATGAAAAGTAGCCATGGTTATTGAGCATTTTACCAACCATTATTTTATAATTGTGGTGTATAAATAGCCGAGATTTAAATAGGGTGGACATGTGCCCAAGGACAGCATTCTGCACAAGATGCAAAAAAAGAAACTTGGCATTATGGCTAAAATTTGTATATTCTTGGGAGCTAGAATAGTCATGTTTTGGGGATGGTATTCCAGGTAGTCATCTGCTTTCTTTGTGGATAGAATTTGTATTTTTATGTTCCTGTATTCATAGTGATAACCCTGCATATTTTAGTGACTTAACAGATGATGTAAATTAAATAACTTTTACAGTTAGTTCATCTTATTAAAGAGCTGTTGTCTACTGGGACATAATGCCATGTAGTCTGCTGAAAGTTGATCAACATTTTGGAAGAATGTGAACCCTACATCTTCAGGGTTGAAGAATAAACCAAGTAAGAAACCAGCATGAAGCAGATAGCAAGCTAATTCTTCGGTTCTGAATATGGAGGTGACGTTTTGCTCCGAAATGTCAGTTTACTTTCACCAGACAGCATGATGTTATATCTAGAAGATAGAACTATTTAATAACCACCACTGCAGGAACTTCAAATCCAACATAAATGTTCTTACTTTTTGATTCCACAATCTGTTGTTGTTTTTTTTAATGCAGCAGAATGGCATGTCATTAAAGGTTATGAACCTGGGATTTAAGCATGTTGGTCATTTCAAAAGATTGAAGTTAGGTGTTACTAAAGTTTGTAAATCAGAAGGGGAGGGGGGGGGAGCAAGGTTTTCCCATAGAACTATGAAGATCAAAGACAACTATGCCATAGTTTGTTTTGCAGTCTATTTAACTGCACACAATATTTATAAGGCTGTAAGTAAGTTGATGCATTGTGCATTTAGAAAAAAGAATGAAAACATTTGGATTTAAATTAAAATGTGTAATTTTGCAGAATACAGTATTGTGGTATGTATCAAAGTAATAAGAACAATTATTTGAATACTACATTTTTTGTTTTAACTCTATGTACACGTTTTGTTCTGAAATACACTTTCATTTTTCAGATAATGTCACCACCACCGTACAGTGACTTGGGCAAAAATGCCCGTGATGTTTTCAACAAAGGTTATCATTTTGGACTTCTGAAATTGGATTGCAAGACAAAAACTAGTTCTGGTGTTGAGTTTTCATCAGGCGGTTCTTCAAACCAAGATACAGGAAAGGTTTTTGGGTCACTGGAGACCAAATACAAAGTACCTGATTATGGTATGTTACAGTGAATTTTTATTTCTGTGCCTAACACAAGGGTTGCTTATAGGATTGTGAAGTTAAATATACATCCAGTTCCAGTGACTTATAATTTGCCTATTACATGTTGTTTCATTCTCTGACTTTAATTTTGTGTTTATTTTAATGCATTTATGTTGTTAGATTGATGTTGGGTATCATTTGTTATATTTGATATATAGTGTACTATTAGTGGCATTATGAGCATCAGTTTTTAGGGTTAGAATGTTGTAATACAGATGGTCACTTTTCAGGCAGGGATACTGAGTCTCCACAATCTATTTAAGCTCCAAATTGGAGACTGACGACTTATAAGTTGCATCGAAGAACTGGGAGTGCATGATACAAAGTAGAGATCTCCAGTTTTCAAAGAAGTCATGAAACTGGTGAGCAGGGAGTTGCAGTTTCCTCCAGAATTGTTGAAACTTTGGGGGGGGGGGAAGGGAATCATAGAACAGTTATATTATTTGTCAGATTGTAAAGAAAAGTACCTAGTTTCAGCAGTCTGCTGTCAGAAGTTGTATTCATTTACTTCTGGACTGAAAAACTATTCCACACCAGTGACATGAAGGACCTCGACATACTCGTACTGTGGTGGATTAGTACGACTTTTATAGGAAGGTACGCTTGAAAATTGGAAATACTCTCATGTGATAGTGACTATACAGAGGGTTTGGATTTATTGGACACTGAATCGTTTAACATACAAATAATTACATGGCTTACAAGTATTCAGTACAGTTTCACAATCTGTGATATCACTTATGCTTGGTTCCTTGTCAAGATTACAGATTCTCCCTAATGTGACTTGTCATGGGCCTCACCATAGCGCAAGCGGTTAGTCGCTGGCTTCCCACCGCGGCAGCCGGGTCTGGTCAAGTGGGATTTGTGGTGGACAAAGTGGCACTGGGGCAGGTTTTCTCCAAGTACTTCGGTTTCCCCTGCCAATCTTCATTCCACCAATTGCTCCACAATCACCCTCACCTATCATCTGGGGCTGGTACAGTAGGCCAGAAGTGGCCGCAGTACAAGGGACTTAGTCCCACCCCACTAGCAATAAAAAAATGTGTCCTGTCATAGTCAGCTCTCTTACAGCTCCTTCCAGTGTGTTCTGGCAGTCAGCTTTTGGCAGCCTTGTTGGTGTTCTGTGATTCCAGCAAGTAACCAAGCAAGAGTGTTCCCACTTCTGACACCAGTTGTCATGTGGTCGCGACTGTACATGGGGTTCAGGCTAATAATCGGATTTATTGGTCACTGAATACTCTTATTTACAAATAATTACATTGTTTACGGGTATTTACTATTGTGGCACAACCTGTTATATTACTCTTGTTTACAATAATGGGGACTCCTAGTCTGTTCCAATGCTGGTGGCCCTCAGCTGCGGGCTCTGGCATGTTGCTTCATATTGGACCATTGCCGACTGATTAGAAAATGCTGCTTCCAACTGTTGTGCGCATATTTTTTTGCTGTGGAAATGTGTTCTAATGAGCCTTTGCTTAGTAATGGATGCCTTCGCGACATTTCTGTGATTCCAGGACTTTGCAATCTGAGCTAGACAAGGCTGTCCAAGACTCTACTAAACATTTATTCTTTGTGCATAACTTATGATAATCGAGGAAAATTATGAATATGTAGCCTTCTTCTTAAGTGATGTCAGCATGCAGTAAAATAATGCTGTATTTTAGCGTCCCTTTGCACTGATTTTCATCCAAGATATGTATACAGTTGCCATCTTGTAGTGCACTCAATTTCACCTGTTACTTCACGACATGTTTCGGCAACATAGTGCCATCATCAGGTGCCACAACTACGCTAATCTATTTCATTGCTTGCCTTTATAAAATTATTTAAAAAGTGCGTATTTGTCAACTATAATGAATCTACACACACTAAAACTTGTTAAGATTATTCATCTTATGTGTCACAATTAAAACTCTTGTGTGGTTCTTCCACTATGGGGTCGTCTTTCATATATTCTGTGTAAACCGTGTCTTGTGATGTGTGTTCCTTTCTTAGCTGCAGCTAAGACACACAAGATGAATAATCTTAACAAGTTTTAGTGTGTGTAGATTCATTATAGTTGACAAATACGCACTTTTTAAATACTTTTTAAATAATTTTATAAAGGCAAGCAGTGAAATAGATTAGCGTAGTTGGGGCACCTGATGATGGCAGTATGTTGCCGAAACATGTCGGGAAGTAACAGGTGAAATTGAGTGCACTACAAGACGGCAACTGTATACATATCATGGATGCAGTAAAATGTTTATAATTTGCTTTGGTTACGTTGGGTTAGCTTCACTTCATATTTTCATACATAGAAAGCATCAAGAGTTGCTTCCATTATCATTTGGAAGGAAAGGAGCAGCAGTTTTGTCTGTTTTGTGTGTGTTTTAGGTAGTGGTTTCTTGTTCATAAAAATTGTTGGGGAATACATTCCCAGGGCTCCATGTGTACAGGCATTGGTAGTATTTGTTTTAACTTTTTGAAGATATTTCTGAGTATCCCAAGAATACAATTACAGACTTTTAGCCTGCATTTTAATGTTTCCAGTAATTATGCTAGTTGTCAGTAGCACGCATACAGCCAAAACAGTTCTGCGTTGTGGTGTTCGATGTCAGGAGCAAAGAAATAAATAGGAATACTAGCGACTACATATACAAAATATGTTAATAACATCCAGAGGACTTGTAATTAATAGCATCATGGATTATAATTTCCCAAGTAAGTTTCCAGTAATAGTGTCCAGATGGTTCTGAAGTGTGCTTAGGTGTAAGGACTACAATCAGTAAACTGGAGAAATAGTGATGGCATGGCCAAAATTTAATATCATCTTGAGGACTTATAAATA